GTCAAAATAAGGCATTAGAGAGAATTCTTTAATCATGATTTGTAATCATACATAACCCAGCTTGATGATGACACTTAAATGCTCTAGGATAGATAATTGATACATTATTGATAAGCCAATTTATCAATACATTAAAATTTCTGATTAAACTGAAAAAGATTTATTGCCATCTCATCCAAGTATTATTGGATAATCATCGGCACATTTAACAAGAGTTATTTAAAACTAATGCTTTCACTCTGTAGAATGTACGGGACAAATTATAGATAGATATTATACGTGCGAAAAAAATTAAATTTTTTGATGATCGAATAGTTGAATACATAGAAATTAATAGTAGAGTAATGAGTCGGAGTAATTAATATTAAATATTAATTAATATATTAAATAATATTAATTAAAAAGAGAAAAGAAAATAATATAATTAAAAACTATTTAAGCGGAATTTTATTTAAAATTTAACATTTAAGTGTATATTTTATTTTAATATATTAAGAATTATTTTAAATATGAAAATATCCACGATTAAAAATTACTTAAATGAGATAGTAGAGGATCTTTCAGTTTAATTAGAAGTTATGGGTTCTTATTTCTATTCAAAATAATTATGTATTTTATATTAATAATTTATTTTAACATTTATGATTTTTTTAAATAAATTATTGTGTCATATAGTGTATTATTTAATATATTTTAATATATTCTTTCTTTAGTTTTGATTTTAAGCATTTTAATTTATTTTAAGTATATCTGTATATCTTCTTCTTAAAGCTTCTTGATATTTAGAATTATTTTGTCTCAATTATATATTTATATGTTGACGCAAAATATATCTTAAAATATATTGTAAGATTATAAAAGTTCATTTTAAATTTTTTGATGTTTAAACATTGGGTAAAGTTCATTTAAACTACCAAATTAAATGTTGTTTATGTGTATACTAGTTCATCCAATGATTTGTGGTAATGTTTAGGGGGGAGTGTTTGTGATGCCGGTTTAGGCGGTTTTGACGTAAAAAATTATTTGAATTGTAAGAGAAAAAAGTATGTAGTTCGGTTTGATTTGATTGACTTTTAGAAATAAAATTGAACTTAATCAAATCAAAGAAATGTAATTTAGATTGGTTCGGTTTCTTACAAAAAAAATTATTGAGTCATACGTACATATATAAATGACAATTGTATTTAATCATTTATGTGTTATCAAATAAACAACAACATTCATCATATTTAACCAACAATTTTCCATTTGATATACAAAAATAAATTAGATAAAAATGGAATAAAAAACATATAACAGTATCATAAAAACAATATCAAAAATATTATAATAAAATTAAAAAAGAAATGAGATGAAAGATTAGTGAAAATGAAAAACAAAGAACAAAATAGAGAAGAGACTACAAAAGAAGAAGTGCGTTAAAAACATAATTAGAAGAGATAACAGTAGAATAAAAATAAGAAGATGATAAGAAAGAATATAAGAGATCGGAGACTAGAGAAGAAGAGGCGAGATATAAATGAAAAAGAACATAAGAAGAAGATGTGATACCGCATATAGAGATTTGAAAAGATTAAACTGAAATTTTAAGTGCGAGAAAGAAAAAATCATTTGTAATTGTAAGACAAAAGCATAATAGATTTAAGTTTGGGTTAGATGTGGGTTAAGTAAAGTTTGAGTTACAACATAATGCAGTTTGATTCGGTTTAGTTCGATTTGTAAAATATAAACTGCAAACTGAACCGAACCACATGGTTTTATTAAAAAATAGTTCAAACATGTCCGACTCAAATACATTTTTTTGCGGTTTCAATTTGATTTAATTCGATTTAACGATTTTCTATTAGATCGATTTAGTTTTGAACACCCCTAATAATACTAACACTTTTATACCCAATTGACCATATAGATGAAATTGTTAAGAGAACAAAATCCTGACCTGCTTTGTTTTATTGCTTCAATTAAAATTTTAAAGAAAATTTGCCAAAAAAAATTATAAAAGCTACTAGTACCAAACTACCCATTACTTGGAAATGTAAATTTCTATTAATATTTTACAACAGAAAGTTGTGTAAGAGTAGTATTTTATACCTAATTTTATAGTATATATTTAAAATACACTCAAATAATCTATTTTCAACTAGTCAAATAGGTATTGGGCTTGTGATGAAATCAATGGACTTTGACCCAAATATTTGTTGATATTATGGCTACTAGAAGAGATATTAAACAAGGTAATCCTGCCCCCCTCTTTTATTTGTCATGTCATCACCATGAAGTATCTCAATAGAATCCTTCACAAAATGCAGAAGATTTCCAATTTTAACCATCATATTAAATGTGAGATTGCAGATCATAAATTTTACTTTTGCAAATGATTTGTTGTTGTTTGCTAGGGGTGATTATGGTTCCATTGATATGATGTAACATGCCCTCAATAGATTTCTTGTCTCTACTGGTCTCAAAGTCAATCCAACTAAAAGTAGAATGAGAGACGATACTAAGGAAGAGATTATCAACTTGACATCCTACAAGAAAGGTACACTTCGTTTTAGATACCTAGGTGTGCCCTTGACCAGCAAGAAATTATCCATCAGTCACTATATGCCTTTAGTAGATAAGATAGTGGGGGAGAATCACTCATTAGAGTACTAATTTATTTAATTATACTGATAGATTCCAGCTCATAAAGAGTGATTTATGCCATCTCTAACTATTGACTTCAATGTTTCTTATTACCTAAGTTTGTTATTCACAAAATAGAGGTTATTTGTAGATTTTTTGTGGACATGTGGTGCCATTATAAGTAGGAAGAGTCATGTTTCTTGGAAGAAGGTTTGTAAACCTAGAACCAAATGAGGCCTCAATATTTTTGCTCTGGAGCTTTGGAACCAAGTTTACATGCTTAAATTGTTGTGGAATTTGAGTGCCAAGATCGCTAGTTTATGGTGAGATGGATCCACACTTACCATTTGCTAAATGAAGAGTTGATGGACATCAATATAAAGGTGAATGACTCTTGAATTCTAAAAGGCATATTGAAACAAAGAGAAACTGTGGAAACTGTGCAGAGTCTGTGGAATCAAATGCATCGCGGGTGGCGAAATTCAGTTCAGTGTAAAGAAAATGTATTATGGTATGTGTGCAAATGATCCTCAAATCCCTTGGTATAAGCTGATGTTATATAATAAAGTTAGACCAAGGGCCCAAATGTTGTTGTGGTTGATATGTCATGGTAGAATTGCTACTAAATCGAGAATGCATAGGTTTGGGTTGGTTGATAATGCTCATTGTCTGTTTTGTGCTAAAGATGAAACAGTTAGTCATCTGTTTTTTTGGATGCATGGAGTTGAGGAATATTTGGATCAAAGTCTTGAAGTGGATCCAAGTTCAACATGATCTGATGGAGTAGAGAATGATGAACTGAATTGGATTGTACATCACTATAAAGGCAATGGTTGAAGAGTAACCTTGTGGTCAAATTGACTTTAGAAATACTAACAAAGTAACAAAATTGATTTTATCATTTCATATTGAGTATAAAACAAGTTTAATTAATATTTTATAATTCAGAGACCATTTTAAAATATCAACGCGAGGAAATATAATATAGCCTTACAATTTCAAAGACCTAATTGAGTAATTAATCCATCAATAATATGTCTGTAGAAATTACAAAGCACAATCTTTTATTATTAATTAGTTAAAAATAGGTTTATGAAAAACAATTCAACACAATTTGTTAATTAAAATTCAACTAAAATTAGAAAAAGATATTTTGGAAATGTGTTTGTGTTTTCATTTGATATATTACAAGTTCGTAAATTACAAGATTACTCAATTGTTTTATAGAGTTTTATATCAAAACTTGTATATATTGAAGAAGATTCTAGTTTAGCTGGATCAAACTTTGGTTGCAGGAAACTAGTTGTCAATGGAAAATATGTTTGGAGGTATAGTGTGTTTTTATTGCTATTGGACACTCATTTCCTTATGCATATCTCAGCATATCAGAGAGTGGGGTTGTCTTTCTAAATATAGGACCATTAATGTTTCCAAGAATGAAGAGGCAAACACAAAAAAATAGAGTAAACCATTTATGGTTCCTTCCCTTTTCAGTATTGAGCAGCAATCTCCATTATTATGCTTTGAAACATATATAATGTTTTTCAAGCTTTCCACTTTTTTGGCTATAATGATGGGATCTGAGCAAGAATAACATAAATGAATGATGTTTTTACAAATTTTTTCAAAATTTTCCAATTGGGATTTGTTTTGAGGCATAAATTGAAGGTTTGGAGTAATTTTCCAATGAATAAATGACCTTTGACTACAATTCTTAGTTAGACTTTAGACGCACTTTCTATCTTGTCCTATCCTCTACCTCCCTGCCCAGCTTTATTTGTTTTAGGGAAGGGAATGGTGATTATTTCAATCCTCCTAAAATGCCTTAGGCAGTTACATCTTGATATACAAATTCCTTCATAAGAGATTCATTTTGCTGGGCCAACTATCCATCCTCTGGAAAATCACGACTCTAGCGCCCTCATCTCCTTAGACTCAATCACTAATTAAGGATTTGTTTTCCCTAAATTAGGTTTAGTCAATATCCAAGTCAGAATTATTCCACATATTTTAACACTCATTCAGAGGTCTTTAATTTTACAGTCAGCAGAAGTATTTCCTTCTTGTCACCATCCCATTTTCACCGGTTTCATCACTCACCTAGTCCGTAAAGCAGTTAACTCGTTTTTACAGCCCACCTTAGCCACTAAAACCAGTAGCAAAATCCCAAAGGGCATTTATACGATCCTCCATTAACTCCTCAGCTTCCGGCCAGTCAAAGAAATAACCCACTCGTCAATAACTGCCTCCAATGGATAGGGGTCACAATTTAAAATTGTCCCCTGACCAGATTTGACCTAATGAATTCACGCACCCGGAATCAATGCGATTCTTGATTTATATTTCATATATTTTAGTTTACTGAGGGTTGGGGGTTATTTTTCTGGTTTAATGAGAAACTCTTGCTCATTCGCCCTCCTATAAAGCAATGCTGATGCTTCAACCCTGTTTTATTTTAGGGGTAGGAAAGAAGCAGCACAAATTAATTTAGATTAAAAAAACAGAAAGAGGGTAAAACACAGAATATCATAATTTTTACGGTACTCACCAGCTAGGATGGACTACAAATTTCCCATTGCAAATAGCCCAATTCACCTGTGCAGGACAAAGCAACACTCATCAGAAATAAATTTAACACAGCAACTAAGTCTGTCTATCAGAGAAATGAAGACTTTTCTACATGTGGAAAAAATCTTACTGATTTCAACAAATATGTCACTGAATGTTTAATAATCAAGTTGACATATTAACAAATTGGGAAGAATGGCAAGGGTAGCCAGAATAGCCAGAAGGATCCCCGTGATATCCACTTTTTGGGTAGTATTGATAATAATCAGTTTTATTTACACTGAATTTCTTAAGCAATGGTTTGTTATTCTTTTTTATTCCATTAAGGGCTGGCTAATCTTTTACGGTTACTTACAGTAACTACAGTTTTGCACATGTCTGTTATTTTATAAAACCATCAAACCAAAAAAAGCCAGGGTTGGGTAGGTTCACTGGTTTGAGCTTAAGGATTTACGCTATAAGGGTTAAAGGAGTTGGAGGAAACACTAGTGAAGGAGAAATATTAACCTAACAACTATCTACTAACATTGGCGGTTTCAAAAAACAAATCAAACAAAATAAAATATGCATGCACAGGGAGCTACTACCATAACAAGGTGAAAGTTTTGAAACCAAAGTATACCTTATCAGTCCCAAGGGAATTAGCAACTACATGAGTAACCTGATCATCAATTTGGTTTGTGCAAGAAGCACCAAATTGTTCAGCTGTCTGCCACAGCGGGTGATGGTGGGGATTGGCTTCGCCAACAGGAAACACCCTACTAAATACTATACGACAACCATCCAAGATTTTCCTCTGCTCTGAAGCTAGGATATTTCTGACATCCACTTCTTCTAAGGATTGAGAAGCAAAAAAGTTTTGGTGTATTCTCTCAATAACCTACTCCGGGGAAAAAGGAATTATTGACCGCAAAAAATAACAAATTGTCCTAAATCAAAGAAAAACTGAATATAACCTTACCCCCAAAGAGGATGCCAAAGATCCAGTATCAGGTCTCTCATCGTGGTCAATCTCAAGAAGAGAAGGGCCAGGAAGCCCAAATTGACGTCTGCTACAAGGGAAGTATGTGTACCTGCAATATTTTAAAACTTAATACAGGGATGCATAAACTCAATAATAATAGCAGAAAAGACTAAAGAATTGCATGTAAGAGAATTGTATGCTATGACGCACTGACCTTTCCACCACTATAAGGTTCAGTTTGTTATGAGGCCAGACTCTCACAGAATCATCTATAATTACAACAGATGATTCCATACCCAAAACGCCTTCCAAATCTTTGCTTTTAGGCGCTCTCTCGTCACCGTCAACTGTTTCAGTATCATCACCTCTAGAGATAACTCTACCAGCAAACAATACACCCTTTGGATCAAGGACCTTTGCCATTTCTGTTGCATATAGCTTGTTTCCCATAGTGTAAAGATGCATCTCAAAGAGCTTACTAGCCTGTAAAGCATTAGGGAAAGATGTGAATGCTTTAATACAAAATTAAGACAGGTGCAATATCATACCTAAAACGTAATATAAAATTCATATTACCTTCTCCAGGAAGTTCCAGACTCCTGGCCTGAGTTTAGTCCACATTCCCATATGAGGAAAACGAAAAAGATGCCTGTGAGGCTTCTCGCGGTCTTGTTCTTCTTTCTTTCTCAATATCTCATCATGCACAGGATCAACTTCCATAAACTGAAAGAAAAAAGGTTAATAAGCAATTGTCCAAACTTTAATCCTCAGGACAGTAAAACCCATTCCATGCAAATTACCTTAGCAGAATTAAGAAGTGTATGGTCTAGGTCCAATACAAGGCACAGCTTTCTAGCAGCAAACATTTTATTCTGTTCTTCAAGCCTCCTGGCTCTCTCTCTTTGTATAGCAGCTTTCTGCTTCTCATCATAACCTTCAAAAAGATGCTCAACATCAGCCCATGTATTCTGGGGTTGAGAGGAACCTGATGTGCATGTTTCAGGAGCTGATTCTACGCCATCTTTCAGGTTCTGAGGGTGAGGTAGATCAGATTTCTGCTCAACTCTATCTGATGTAAAGGGGACAGATGCAGAAGAAACATTCTGAGCAGCAGGAGGGTGAGTTGATGGTTCTTGGGGAACAGACATAATATCAGCAATGTTTTTCAGATTCTTGGTAAACTGCCGAGTAATATCAGGTTGTGCGATTGACGGAGATGCCAAATTTGTTTCAACCCTAACATTAAGCTTTTGGGCATTGACATTTTCCCCAGTTCCCTGGTTATTTGGCATAGGGGATACAATTGTTTTGGATTGTTCACTCCCCAAACTCCCACCCTTCTGCAGAGTACTACTTCCATGGAGAATGCGACGTGGATCGCGGGGTTTCATGCGAACCTTTCTAGAATCGACTTGTAGGATTGGTGCCTGATTATCAAAAACATGCAAAAAAGTTAAACAGCAGTTAGCCTTAAGGAGCGGGCTTCCGTGATAATAAACAACCTAGACTCATAATGGGGAATCAAAATGCTAAACTTTCCACATCAATTCTCAAATGCAAGTAGAGGAAAGAAATAGAAAATTGGAAGATAACACCATGACCACAGAAGAATATCAAGAATTGACTTTTGAAGCGTTCACTGGAGAAATAATTTCATAAAAGGATGTTACCGTGGAAGTTGCTGGTGATGAAGTTGGAAGCATTCCAACAGAATTTTGAGGAAGACCAGCAGTCATTGCTGGACCTGTATTCACAGTTGCGTCTGCTCCCCCTGTTGAATTTGAGTTTATTAAATGCAGCGTACTTGTAGCACAATCAACAGGCTTCGTTTGGGCTTCTGCTGCTAATCTCTGCTGTTGCTCTAAAAGTATATTCAATAACATGGTTGGATTTACAGCTATATTTTTCAATAACGCGGGTAGGGAAGCTGCGGTGCTGCCGCTTGTAATAGGTGTCTGCTCATTTCCGCTACTAGTCATGATCAAATTACTAGAACTAGTGCTCATAGTCCTTTTGAGTTCAGTTTCTCCTTTTTGAATTAAATGGTTCCGTTCTATCAACTGAGATCCAATCACTGTATTTTCGTCCAACCAACCACCTTTTCCATCCACAGTTCTTTCCTCTCTGGTATTGAGCTCGGAATTTTCCAAAGACCTTCTAAGTCTTTTGGGAGGGCTAGCATCCAAAGAAGGTTCTTCAACAGCCTTTTGCTTTCTTGAGATTATACTTCCAGCATATTCCACTTTAGGCATATTATTTGTCCCTAAAGGTTGGTTAACATCTGAAGTATCAGAATTAATGAAACGGAGCCTAGGATCTCTACTCTTTGCTGAAGACCGATTGATGGAAGTAGAAGAAACAGGCATCTGATCCAAGGGGGGTGACGTAGAGCTTGTTAGCGAAGCAGCTATAGAAGCACTAGAAACCTCACCATTGGTATCAACAACCCCTTCCTCACAGTCACCTGAAGGAGTTGGACTTGGAAACTTATCATCCGTAAAATAGGAACTCTGACTAAACTTTTGTTGATATGTTGAAAAAGCTTTCAGAGCATCATTTTCATAGATGTGAAACTTGGAATCCTTACCATTCAGCTCCATCCTTTGAGCCTCTGTCTTAGAGGCAAGAGGAGCCTTTGTCTTAGAGGCAAGAGGAATCCCAAATCTATCCATTCCATCTCCAACCGAAAACAATTTATTCACCGGAAAGCAGGACGGAGCTTCTCGCGTGGGAGACGGTAAACTATCTAAATCATGATCCTTGTGTAAGTCAAACAGTGGGAGCATAGGGCTTTTAATATTATTTTGTCCATATAACAAGGTTTCAGGTGCATAGGCTGAGTTATCATGGACAAGCATACTAGAAGAAATCAATCCACTGGCTTCTAAACCTAGAAGTTGCCGAGTCTTATCAAAGGCCTCCAATTTTCCCTCCTTGCCAATAACCTCGCTATTGCCCAAAGCATCAACAGAAACAATTGAAGTAATCATGACCTGAATCTGTACAAAAAAGCAAACAAGCTTTAGATTCTACCTAAATTTTCATTTCAATAAATAAGCATCATACTTAGGAATGGAGCATGACTACAAAAAGAGCTGGCATTAAACATCACCTCTTTATTATGCTCCGGAGTAAATAAATGAGCATGCTCATTCTTCAGAGAAGAAAGCAATCTATCATAAAAAAAATGCAACCAAGGAACATAGTTTAGAGCTAGATATTATTGCAAATTGAAAGAATTATAACAATAAAAACCAAGAACTAATAGTTTTTAAACCTTAATAAGTTATCCTTATTCTCTTCCTTTTGCAAATATTCCATTGAGCAAAACACCTACAACAAAGACACGAAATAAATCTGTGACAACATAATCAACAGAAACCAAAACAACACATCAAAATTCAATAGTAAAACAGATAAGGATCTCTAGGAGTCTTACAGAAAAAATCACTTTAACTGCATTGAATAACAAAGGAACAAGAACATCTTTTTCAGAACCCGCAAACATTTTACTATGCAAGGCACTCTGAAGCCTAGTACAAGTTTCAACAAACGATCTACAAAAACAAAAATCACCCAATAAAAACACAAGTCAATTCAACGTTGCAAATTTGCACTGCAACTCCAATTTCAGCTATTCAGAAAACAAACCAAACCAACAACAAAAACACAAACAGTTTTCACTTACTTTGCCACGTTAGCAACAGTAATACTCTCCAAAACATCCCTAACATCAATTACCTCCGAATCAAAAACAGTCTCGGAACCATCACCACCCAACATAACACAATCCGTATCATCATCACCATCAATCTCACCCTCCTCCAACTCCCCTTCCTCTTTATCATCATCATCCACCACCACAACCTCCTTCAACGCCATATTCAAATCATCATCATTATTATTACCACTGCTATTGTTACTATTCGCATTAGCATTAGCTTTGGAATCACCATCAAGTTCCATAACAAAAATATCATTCAACGGCTTATTCTGAACCGCCTGCGCCCAAGCAAGATTATACAATCCAGCAGCATAACCACGCGATATAGTCGGATACTTCGAATACAAATTCTGAACAGCCCAAACCCTAGAATTACCACCAGCACCAGTAGCCGCCGTATCACTATTACTAACATTCACTTTTACACCATCCGGTTTCTTAAAATCCTCTTCACTAATCTCCTCAACCGAAGCCGTATCAGAAATCTCACCCTCTTCCACATCTTCAACAACCTCTTTCCCCATCTCCTCCACGTTTTTCAAATTATCACAATCCAAAAACGATCCAAAAACCATTAATAACAACAGAATACAAATTCACAACAACTATTCAACTACTGAAATCGTAAACCGTAAATCGGTTTCGAATATCGAAATTGCAAAAGAAAACAAATTATCTCAGTGATTAAATTAGGGTTACAACAACAATTTTCCGATTTGGATTTTTCGATTTTCGAGATCTGGTGAGATTTAGATTTAGATGAAATCGATAATGTTAGGATGAAATCAGAATCGGAATCAGTTTTCGGTGAACAGAAATCGAGATCGAGTTTTCAGATCCGATTATACAGAGACGCCGTCGAGGAGCCAGAGTTGAAGAATGAAATAAGCAGAGAGAAAAATAAATAAATAATAATAAAGAAAAAATAGAAAACGGTTAATAGTAATTTATTTATTTATTCATATGAATTTTGAAAATGACGAAAGAAGAAAGAGGAAATGGTAGAGGAGCGAAGAGATTTATAGGAGCGTGTGATTGAGATGCGAAGATGAATCTAAGAATGAGTAGGTTTTGAATCTGGGCCGTACACGTCAGTGATCCGGAATTGAAACAGCGTGCGGCGATGAATGAGAACGATAGTACTAGCAAAGGTAAGAATCGTTAGTCATCAAATTGTTCCTGTTTTTCCGGATTCCAAGTTTGTTTATTTATAATTAATAATTTGTTAAGTCCATTTCATTAGATCATATTATTGTTTCTATTCCAATGAAATGAAATGAAGATCTTCTTAATACTAGAATTTACCTATCTTAATTATTTCAAGATATTGAAGAAGTGTTAGTTTTAATTATTACTTGTTGAATTAATAATGGATTCCTAAATAAATAAAAATTATGAGTCTTTTTTGTTCTTTTTTAAATTCTAGATTGATAATGAAGTAAAGGGGGGTGGTTAGTGGAGATTAGAGCAAGAGTCGGGAGAGATTGTTTTTTTTTTACTTTTTATTGACGATTGTTTTTTTTTTTTTGTATGGCTAATTTATCTGAAGTGAAATAGTTTATGAAAATTTTTTGAATGTATACAGATGCCTCGGGTCAAGAAATTAACACAATCAAGTCAGAGGTGTTTTTCAGCTGCAGTACTAGTATACCATCATGAGAAGACCTATTACGAATAGTGAGTGTCTGCCATGTGTTAAGAACGGAAACATATTTTGACTTGCCTTCAATGGTTAGAAGAAGCAAAAAATGAAACATTTGCATTTATTAAGGATCGTATTTGGAAGAGAAATAACTCTTTGAGAGGTCCTCCTTTGTCCAAGTTAGGGAAATAGGTAATGATTAAATCAGATCTTCAAGCAATACCCTTTTATATTATTAGTGTATTTCTCATCCCATATGCCATGTGGCTGATATAGAGAAAATGTTGAACTCATTTTGGTAGGGAGAAGGTAGTAGATGTTGGAACAAGTTTGGTTCTGCAACTATCTTTGAGTTTTGATGATAACAAGATATACATAGTATAGAGAACAATTGTGTACTCTACCTATTTTGTTAAGTGCATAAATTCTAAAGAAAAAAACACTCTAGACTTTGGACTAGCAAGTTTTGGACTTTGGACAAGTGAACTACGAATGTTGTACCCCAAAATTTGCCTCTCTTTTCTCAAGACATTTTACAAAGGACCTCAAATGCTCAAGGATTCTTAAGGAATTGATCAGACAAAATCACCTCTTAAAAATTGAGACCACAAACTAGGATTTTGACTAAGAACGACTGATCATTGACTTTTGACTTAATACATGACTTAATGGCTTGAAGCATAATCTTAAAGACTCAAATATAACATGTTGACCTAATTTCATGGCTCAAAACATCCCTCAAGATCATTGGATTGACAGATGAAATTTGGTTAACTATTGAAAAGTCAATTGTATACTAAAAAGTCAAACTTTGAATTTTTTATCAATATCAAGTTTCAAAGATCAAAATTCATCAAGACATTCAAGAATATCAAGTTTGATCATCAAAAAGTCAAGAAAGTCAAAAGTCAATGTGAAAAGTCAAACTTTTCAAGACTTAGAAATTTCTCTAAGTGTTTTTTATACATGATAATTTCACTACTTCATGCCATTCTTTCACCAAGATGCAAAATGATTCAAAGAAAACTTTCAACATGAAAGTTGTAGATATTAATAATATCTACAACTTTGCTTTGTTGATCAAGTCCTAGAAACGCTTGGATTTTAAGTTATAAATTCATGAAGTCATGGCATTTTTGTATACACTTAGAGAAATTTTCAGCAGGTTTGGTCAGGTTTTTATCCCAACTTCTTGGCCAATTTTCATCAAGTTCCATTTGGATTCTTCAAAAATAGAAAACATTAAGGTTTTAGAGGGTGTTACAAGCTTTCTAAAATGTCAAAGAACTCATTGAGATCATACTTGAGCTAAGAGAATCAAAGCCATAAAGTTAGGGTTTCATTTTTGAATTACAAAGCAGATTTTGTGATGAACAAGAACCAAATCCATAGCCATGTTGTGTAATCTTCACTTTGCAGACCTCAAACTTACATATCAATCCTTAATTGAATGCTTACACAACTTATTAAACTATGATCCAAGAGTTTGAGCCTTTGTCTATTGCATCATTCTATTTATAGCACAAAGGCGTCATTGCCATTCACATAAAGCAAGCTTTATGCAATTGTCAACTCCTTGAGCATCTCAATTTTTTTATGCACATACACAATGTCAAAGCAAGAAGAAATATGCCTAAAATCCTCTAGCAACTTCAGACCATGCTTGTACCATGCATTGGAACATCAATTTTCACATAACTTGGTTGTTTCATCTCAACCAAACCAGAATTTTGACAATTTATAAAACAAACTCTCTCATCCTCTCAAACCTCATCTATAAATAAAGAGGCTATTTGTAAGCTAAAGAGAAGTTTTTTGGTTGTGTAGATAAGTTTCTCAAAACCCCTCATACTCTTAAAAAACCATAATTGTCCACGAAACCTCCGCTATTGAGCTTAGAAACAAAATCTTAAAATCTCTCAAACCTTGCATTTCTATCTAAACAAACCATCCCCACACTTTATATACATCATATAGAAGTTGTTTAAACACAAGAACAACTTCTGTAACATCATTATTATCACCTTCCAAACTCAAAAACATTGTCTTGCAAGTTGACTTGGTTGGAGAAATTCGAACACTTTCAGTACAAAGTAAGGATTGGAACAACTTCAAAAGGGTCCGAATGAGCTCAATCAATCATCATATTGCAGCTGGAAACATCCATACATGTTTTGAGTTTTCACTTCAAGAGGTAAGTTTTCTCAAACAATGATATCCTTGTTCATACATCATTTTACTTTCGTTTTCAAAAGAATAAAGCAGGACAAATCAAAATAGAAGAGTTGCAAACACTAAAAATCACAAAAAAATGCTTTTAGAAGTCTGACACGGCCGACCGTGTCACCTGACACGACCAACCGTGTCACCTAACACGGGCCGTGTCAGGAAGAAAACAGGAAAAATGGCAAGATAAGGCTCTGACACAGGTGCTTGTGTCACAATACACGACTCATGTCCCTCTTACTGGAACTAAAACTTGGCAAAATGGCAGGGCAGGATTCTGACACGGGTGCCTGTGTCACAGGACACTACCCGTGTCAGCTCAACTGGGACTAAAAAAGAGACATGAATGTTCATTATAGGGTTCTGACACGGGTGCCAGTGTCACATGACACGGCCAGTGTCAGCTTAAACCCCAAAAATCTTGATTTTGATACTTTTTATTCAATTTGGTTGTAATAGTAATTAGGTTTGAATTGCTTTCATTCCCCATTCATAAATTTATATCCATATCCCCTAAATGATGTAATAGCGTAGGATATTTACATTCCGCAATTTATCGCTTTCAAATATAAATGCTAGTAATTAGGGTTTGTATGGCAAGATAAAATCAACAACTAGACAACCCTAATCCAAGAACAAAAATGCATGAAATCAAAACACTTCGCACACTTGCACCTCTAGGGTAACCCACACTTGTTGCCTTCTAAATAAAACAGTCATGTCCCTCGAACATGGGATACTTTAGCAAAGACCCTCGAATACAAGATCGTAGTCCCTCTATGACCCTTCGAAGTTGCCTTCGGTAAACAATATTAGACCCTTACGACAAATTGCTAAGGTATCCTACAATGTTGCCTTCTATGACTATACGATAACCCACACTCGTCCCTTCACACCCAATGATAAGGCTTCCTACCAATAAATGGTGAGATAGCAATATCTAAAGGAGAAGGTAAAGAACTAACTTTTTTAGTAGGTAGAACGCTCGTAGTTTCTTGCTCACAACCATTTTCAAAATAATATCATTTCAAACACACTAACACTTTCAAATGAAATATTTTCAAAAGTCCAACACTTTGTATGCATTCTTATAGAGACGAGAATCATTACAAAGTTTTCCTAAACGAAGTCACTTTTCAAAAATACTTTCAAAAAACCATTATAAACACATTTCAAACAAAACAATTTCAGAAGTGATCTAGCAAGCAACTAAGAGCCCATAGAAAACCATGGATGAAAAGGGTACTAACACCTTCCCTTTTCATAACCTACCCCCTGAACTCAAGAAAAATATCTCAAAAGGTCTTTCCTGTTCTTTTCACCATTTCCTTTATTAGATAAAAGAAAATTCGGTGGCGACTCTTGTTATCCGCAATAATTGTGATAAAACACAAAACACCCAAGTCAGTTCTCCCACCGTATGATAGGACTGGCGACTCTGTTGGGGATAACTTAAAAGTGGGGTTACCTTAGATCTAGATCACCTTTAAATGTTTTCGTTGTTTGGCTTGTTTATTTTACATTTTGGGTCCTTGTTTGGGTTTGCTTTGATCCTCTACCCAGATCTGGAAACATCATTAGGTAAGTAGCAAAAGATTGTGGAAACTGTACGGCGTAGACCGATATGGTTGAAACAATGGCTACATTAGTGTGACACATTTGTTGGTACCGGTATTCCTTATGGCGAATTAAGGAGAATACGGGGTG